AGATAGGGCATATCAATTCACTCATTTGGAAAATTTGAGAATCTCGTATGAAGCGAGCAAAATATCCAAACTTCATACATCGTAATATTTTTACCAGATCTAGATCAACTTTGGTAACTCTCTGGTAACTCCCGCACAAGGAGTAATTTTGAAAATTTTTAAAAACAATATCTACCGATTGGAATGTCCGATACATATAAAGCGAATAATGTCTCCGACTTGGTAAAAACATATACCTAATGTACACCGAATGCTTATTTATACCAAACATATATTTGGTGCAACATTCGAATATATTAATCCATCATTTATGATACTTCGCTCACAAAAGTCAGGATTAGTATATACTACGTACACTCTAAATTATTTTTGTTAAAATCACAATGATAATGATAGGCAACAAGATGCCGCACCAATAGTAGTAATTTTCAACAGCTTTGTTGTAAGATTTTACGCAGAAAGTGTCTAAAACTTTCAACAAAAGTAAGCACATTTATACGTAATTTGTAGTTGTATTAAATGAAATACTTTGTTGATATAATGAACAAATATTTTATTAACTACAAAAAAGTCATATTTCATTTAAATTAAGGCTAACAAACTTCAAATTATATTTCTAATTCCAATTTTGTAGTAAATGTAAAAACAAATTACCATACCACAGCCATAGGTATGAAATGCATTGCCTCTCATCATCTGTGGGTGATGTGCCTACAATTGTTTAGGTCAGTTACAATCTTTTAATAGTATATACAGATATTACTTACAACTTATTGGAACCATGGAGTGGCCGATTAAATTTCACGTTTTATTTCCTCTATTGTTATTCCAAACTTAAATGAGTGATCAGATAAGATTAGTACCTTAAATTCCTTATATAACAGAAACGTGTTGTTTCTGGATCCATCAATTTTTGAAAATTATCAAATAGACAGACCTTGTGAAATGTCATAGGCTAGTTCTCTAAAATGACCTTTACATTAGGAATATGTTTGGCATCATTGAAGTATGCCCTATGCGTGGCAAAACAGCTGTACATCAATTTCATTGCCGCCTCCAATTCAGATTGATGCAATTTTTTGTGGTGGAAATGCATATCTTTTCACAAACATACATTTTTATTGCTTTGGTGTAAATCCAACGAAGACGGAACTGGTAATGTTCACTAGGAAGCGTAAGCTCGGCGCCATCAAATCTTGTTATATCAAATCCGAAGCCGTCCTCAAATGTAGAGCAGCCCTGGAAGAACTTATCTATAGCTATCGGTTGTGTTGGGTAACAGGACATTGTGACATCTTGGGTAATGAAAGAGCGGACGAACTAGCTAGACGAGGATCTCAATCCACCGATCTAGAAACTGATGACTCTATCAAACCACCCATATGTCTTTTTTATTGGAACTTTTAGGCATTCTTTGACGAAAGAGCCTCTGTGTTGACGAGGAGGAGACGGAGACAATTGAGCATCTCCTGTGTTATTGTCCAGCCCTGGCTTACAGGCGGCACAGACTAGTGGGTGCTCATTTTCTACCTCCTCATTTATTTATGTTAGATTCTAAAATCTCCTTTAATTCTTTAATCTTCTCTCCCCTACAGATCTGTCTTTCTCTTCTCTTCACAGTATCTCTTCTTGTGTATGATCACAACGGATCTAACCGGTCTCAGAGTGCTGCAGCCACATAAGTGACTGCACATCCCCAAACCTAACCACAGTTTACATGTACACTATTTGAACTATATAGTTTTCGTAGATGTGTAAGAATATAAATAAACAAAACAAATGACTTTATTTTATTGGCTAATGTTGCTCTTAAAAATACATTTATTTCTTTTTTTATTATAAATTAGTTTTCTTTAAGGCAAAATTTTCAACTAATTACGAAATAGCCGACTTTATGTGTATATTTGTATTTTGGTTGTGTTATATATGAGTGTATGTGTGTGGGGGTGTTTGTTTAATTGATAAGAACATAATTCAAATAATAGGCTTATAGATATTCAATTGTTTTAATTATCAATAATTGTTTAACCAAACAAAAATTTTGTTTCAATACCAAAGAATATTGATGTTTGAATAATATATTTATGTATATATCCGATAAAAACATATATCGCATTAGTTACATCTAGGTGTAGTTATATGTATATACTTTTGTTGCTTTGTTGTTGATTATTAATTTTTTACACAATTGGTTAAAGTGGTTTAACGCAGATGTCTTTTCACAGCACATTTTTCATTGACAATTGTATTTCTTTCTACGTACATATGTATGTGTTTAGTTGTTAGTTTAGATTTTGTTTAAAATGAAATTCTCAATAATTCAAACAGTCGTTTCATTCCAGTTTTCGTTTGTTAATATCGAATTCGTACCAAATGTACGATTTCAATAAAATATTAAAGATGTAAATTTTACCATTCATTATGTTTTCATTTGTTAAAATATTTATTTGATAAAAATTTAATTTTCTACTTAAATATCTAAAATATCTTTATTTAAATAGAGCATATTTATTGATTATTTGTGGTTAGTATTTTCTTGCCCATTCTATAGAAATATACATACATACATACATACATACATACGGACGAACAAGTTTAGTGTTTGATTTAATCTACTAAATTTTGAACATCCCCCAATAAAGTGGGGACGGTCAGATATGCAATAAAAATGATATTTTTTATTTTATGCTCACGTGTATTTTTTATATACACGTGAGCATAAAATATTTTACTAAAACGGAACTGCAGAAGATATCAAACAACATAACCGTTCTCTAGGGAGCATTGTTATTATAGTCTATAGAATAAAATGATTCGTTCCATAAACCGCAATAACCATTTATTATTAAAATTCTTAGTATTTCATACATTAATAATTAAAAAACGTGGTCAGTTTTGTGTACGGGAACACGCTCAATAAAAAACGGTATGCCAAATTAGGGTTTACTTATATCTTGATTATAGTAAATACAAATAAACAGGATGAGAACGCGATGTAACTGAATGTCAACCCAAAAGGAAATGATAAGTTACAGTATTATAAGTTACAGTATTAACAACTAATATAAAAAGTTTTTATCTTTTAGGCATCATAAGACAAATTAACTCATGTATATATATGTACTTCATTCCGAATTACATATGTATGTATGTTTTATCAATAGTATATGGCAAGTTTTATTTAAAATGTGTTTTTTTTTCTTCATTCTCTTATTACATCATTCATTCTAAAATATAAAATAGACAAAACTACTTTTATTGTTTGTCATTTAATTTATTGCAAATTTACTTGCTAAGTGAATGTGTGTGTGTGCACGTCATTTTGTTGTTAATCAATTAAAATCAATCGCATCCTATATAAAATAGTCTCAGTTCCATTTCTCTTTATTTATTATATTAATTTTATTTTTCGTTTTATTTTAATATGTTATATCACACAATCCTGCTAATATAGATAACTTTGTGATTACATTGGATTCGCATTTATTTTTTATACGTAACAATCGATTATTTGACATATACATATACAACAAATTAGTGAATAGATGGGACTTTGCGTTTTTCTATTGAACAACAAATATTGTATATTTTTCAAAAACAAAAGGCGAATTTCACCTTCTCCAAATGTATTTGTTCATTACACCTCTCGCCTTTTAGGGTCATTGTGCACCAATTGCAGTATAAATAGCGAGCATCTTCTGCAATTCACATTGAGTTTGTTACACTTTAGACATACACTTCACCTCAAGAAAGAACTTTTTTCCTGCTCCTCATATCAGTTGATGTTTGCAGTTGTAATTTGTATGTACGTACAGGTAGTTGACAGAAAAAAGTAAAGAAACATTTTTATTTTTTTCTTCAAGTAAAATTTTAGTACATTCGAATAAATTGCTTTTTATTGTTTAACTTTCCTCATTTTGTCTGTTTAACCAATTATTTGCGATGACAACATTCGAATCTATCATTGTGTGCATTATTAATCATTAAAAATATTTATCAAAAAAGCAGTGTAAAGAATACATCTCAAAAAAGTGTAACATGTGTTGCAGAAAAGCTCCGAGTGTGCTCGATACCCTTTTACTGTTGGAATGAATGCCAAAACAGGCCCGTATGCCTTCTTATCGATTATTTTAAACTGAGTGCTTCGAGATTCAATTTACTTATATTTTTTCGACATCCATCTTGTAAGTACAAAGCTAATTATATTAACCGGTATTCGTCCAATTGTTTATAAGGTAAATTTGATAATTGTTGATGTACATAATATAGTCATAGACCCTTGTATTTAAATACATTAATTGATAATAGTTTTATTCTTTTAACTACGTCTAAGTACTTATTTAGTTATTGTATGAATTGCTCCAACAACTACCGTAGACTCTTCGCCAACAGTCGCATATCTTCTTTTGGACAGTTCAATAATTTTAAACGCATACAAATTCCACCTCACCTTCTTTGTTCTGACTGAAATAATTAATCGTAGCAGTGCGTGGAAATTCTTTCTATGAAAAACAATCTTTATTAAGTACAGATCAACGGCTGTGTTCGTGTGCATTTGAATTAAACGATGCCGTTGGCCTTTTATGTTTGGGAAGTTATATGATATGTAACGTGAAGAGGAGAATACTATACAGAATAGTGTCACGATTAGAATCATTGATATGGTTAAAATTTGACATAATAATCTTCTTCATAATCCGCTACGAATCGAATACCTGTGTGGTATTCATCGACCTTTAATGAAAGCGGAGCCAATCCAATACCGAGAATTATAATAAAAGTAGATTTAGCCAAACTATGATCCTGTGGAAGCTGATAGATAATATTATTGCAAGTGGAAATTGAATGGCTTACTTTGGAATATGTTACGATCTGTTCATAATTTGGTGCATAAAATGAAAGGGAATGTATTATTGCACTTCTATAGGAAGGAATCTTAGTATAATAGTATTTAACTATAGGAAACCATTGTAGTGAGATATTGATTGCAGCCATTCCCTCTAAATGCTGACAATCTTTTCTTGACCCTCTTCATTCTCATCATCGTCATCGGGACAAATTAATTCGCTGCGGTCGTCATCGATTTGTATTTTTTGATGAGAAGGGTTACGTGCATGTTTCTTATGGCTTGAGGATGATGGGGTCGGCACTGTTGGACCCGCTACATTCTCACTGTGATTTGGCGCAGTTGTGCTGTAATTTAAGTCCTTGGAGTTGGTGCGACGATGTCGTAGAATACTTAAAGCTGTTGTATCATTACCTATGGTAGTGGAAGTGTTGGTGTTAATAGTGGAACCGGGGGCGGTTTGAGCAATTCTGATATTAAGATCTTTCGAATTGTTGCGCGAATGACCTTGCGAGTCAGCGACATTGGCTAGTACTACTTCGTTTGCTTCATTGGAATTTTTCAATTTATTTTCCATGACCACATTTTTGAGCAAATTTACGTTTTTCTTATTGGTGTGATGATTGTGATGACCTCGAAGAAACTCCGGATCAAATCTAATATTGTTGGGCATATATATCTGGTCATAGGAATGGTTACGTGAATGTTTTCGCACAAAATGACCACATCCCGTGGTAAGTTCGTCTTCTTCTTCCTCGTCCGCTTGCGGCTTGAGTTGATTTTGTATGAAGCGTATGCTGAAATTAGGATCGTCTCGTGAACAAGAATTAGAGTGGGCCACCAGCTTATGACGGAACTCGACATTAAGGTCACTTGAATTATTGCGGGAATGTGTATGAAGTTTTTTCAAATTCTTGAATTTTGATGTCTCACAGGCATCCATGGCATTATTTGTATTGTGATCCTTGGCAAAACTTCGTATCATCTTCACATCACAAGACGCGCTGCGGAAGTGTTTCTTAGATTTGGTCTGTGGTACATTTGGACTAGTCGCTGGCAAAGTGTTATTACATTTGTCGTATCTGAGAAATTGAAAGAGAAGACTTGAGTTGCGGAGGAAAGGCCCACAAATAACATATGCTATCATGCTAGCTTACCCATATTCCAATTGGATTGTGCGTGAATTATTACGAGAATGTCGGTATGAGTCCGATTTAAGTGCTAGTTCGCCGCTGTCATCATAATTCAGGTTGGAATCATTTACCGCCAATTTTTCCTCAAATACTAAAAGAGAAAACATATTTTTTTTTCGGAATTACAACGTGATCTTCAAAGACCCCAAGACCCAGCTTACATTTGTCCAAGCTAATAATGGATCCTATTACGGGATCACTGGGATTTAAAGGCTTTGTTTTATCCAGTTGCTTACGACGTCTGACAAGCCACCAATCAACAATAAATATTACCAAGGCCACTATTTTTACTGTTGCACAAAGACCAACATACCTACGAGGAAAAGAAAATGTTTTAACTTTATTTTCCACCATACAAGGGGATGTCTTTACTTACTTGTAACGGAACTTTTCGATGTCATAAATAAGACAACGCCCTCCTTTCTCGCCACACGAAGATTTCCATAAAAGACAAGTAGAATCAATGAGATTACCAAACAGAATTGGTGCCGGAATATATCCAAACAAACGGAATATAACGAACTGCATGCCAAGGGCAAATGATCGCTCTTCTTCGGATACTGATCGGAGAACAATCATAAGAAGGGGCATTTGAGTGGCTGCCACTATAAATGTCATAAAGAAGAGTAGTATAAGGAACGGATAAATGTTGCGGCATGGATTGGCACAAGGACCGGCAGTAGCAACAGGAACTACAGTAACTTCAGCAAAGTTTTCGTTGGCATTCAAAGCCTGGGCCTGACTGCCTCCGGCTCCCATATAAATACTGCTGGAAATGTTGGCATGAACACCTAGAAAACACAAATAAGTTTATTGTTTCTCTCCTATCGAACCTGTTTAACTATATATGTTTACTTACATGCACAATTTGTGTAATTGGAGCTGGAGGAAAAGGCAGTACATCCCGCATGGCAAGGACTAAAATATGTTAAACCATTATTGCCACACACTGGTTCAACATCACTGGTTAAACATTCACAACCGAAATTGCAGGCAGCTGTTAAATTTACTTGGAATGGTTCCAAAGCTCCATGTTTGGAATTATTGTAGTAAGGCATAGTGGTGCCGGCCATCTTGAGATTGTCGCAGCCCAAGAAGAATAACAATGCATAACATCCCAGACAGATGATATTGGAAATCAAAACAAATGTTACAGCGCCTTTTGGCTTCAACTGGAATCGCTTAAGTACACATCCGCCAATAAAGATGCCGATGCAAGCTCCTGGTATGGCAATGGACCCAGTAAAAACACTTGCCTGACTTTTGCCGACACTAAATTGGGTCTCCAAATATTTGGGCAGAAATACCACGAAACCCGAAACGATCATCAATTCCATGCAGGCTCCAAGGCATGTGACAATATAAACGGGATTGGTGACTAAACGTAGCATGGACTGTGGTATATCTGCAAATATGGAAAATTTTGATGGTAACATATTTCGAACTACGAGCCATATAACAGATTACCTTTAATGTCTTTTCCATAACCGGTATCAACTTTTGGCTTTTCTGGTTCATCCTTGGGAGCCACCGATACTATCTCTTTTTTGACTCTACCAATTTCATCAGTGGCTCGGGGTAAACTGTTTGAGTTATTCGGTATTGCCGGTTGCACAACAACAGATGTTTTGCGAATTTTCTTCTTTTCATGTGTGAGAACCTAAACAAATATTAATTAATTTGATTTAAATCATTATTAATAACCGGTACTTTTGGGAATGCCGCATTTATTGAAAAACATACAGATCTCCATAATTTGCAATGAATTGAAATCTCCATAATTTGCAATGAAATTTTAAAATTACAATTGTCAATGGTATCGCAAAAAAAAATATTGCCTTTATTTTTACTTTTCATATACATATGTATGTATGTTTATTTTGGTCGAACCGAATTGTAATGAAAAAAAAACACAGTACATGTGTAATATTCCCTTCATTACTTGAATCGGCAGAAACATTGAAAGTTCTGCAAATATTGCGCGATCGTTATATGCAACTATTAAAACTGGTATAGTATTGAAGTTTCGATGGGAAAATCCACATAAATTAACTATAGAACAACAAAATACTTTCGAACTATGCATTAGTTTTCAAATATATATACTCTTAATTACATTACCAAACGCCACCACTACATGAACTCAATTTCGAACCATTCTCCTTCGACTCTGATGGAATATTCGCAGCCATTCAACTTACCTTTGGAAATGAGAAAAACGGTACTGCAACAATAAGTAGCAAAACTCCGCACAATAGAAATCCTCCCCACCACATTCCTACCCATCGACGATCACCCGGATCTGAAAGAAATTTTATCAAATGTTATCATTCTAAATATATTCGAGCTTATTCTCATCGCTCGCATACCAATCGAAATTATTGAAGAGGATAACGAATCCATGTGGAAGGACAGCAAATAGGCACCCAACAGGAAACCAACAACCGGCCCAAATGCAGCCATACTGTACATACAACCAATATACATGGATGAACTTTCGGTTTTCACATGATCATCAACATACGTTGTGCCCAAGGTAAACAAAGGACTGCCACCACAGCCCAGTAGCAGTTGAGCGATAACGAATAGTAGTACAGGACCAAAGGTAGACAATTTACCCTCCAGACAGTTGTCCTCTCGCAGTGTGTGTGGTGCCAGGGGCGGATTAGATAGACCACTGGACAATCTTCCCAGGTCCATGTCTTGGTTGCGCACTAATGCACTGCGACATATGTTGTCCGTTGTTTCATTCGCTATACTAACACCAGGGTTGGGTTCCCCGGTGAAATGTGGAACCATAAACACCAAAGAGCCAATTCCCATGATGACCGCTCCTATTCAACGAAATTATCCCATTGTATGTGGAAAACATAATCGATAATTAAATGTTTGCAAACTTACCAATGCCAATCCATACTGGTATGTGACGCCTGCTTCCTAAATAGCTTACAAATATAACTGTAATCACATTGCCAATTTCATAACTGGACGCTATTAAGCCGGAATAACTGGACGGTATTTCAAAACGCTTCTCGATGGTTGTTATCACCGAATTGATATAGCCCGAACTCAGTGCCTGCTGCAGTGTGACCAACATCGACAATAGGAGTACGAATATCTTTATGCGTGCGAATTTCTGTACGCCTCTGGGACGGCACGCCATTATGCCACAGTCTTGGGAACGCAAATCGTCATCATCGTCATTAAGGCCACATGTTGCATTATTACCTGCCACAGCATAGGCATTTTGATTTCCATGTAAATTATTATGACTATGCAGGGTATTTCCTAGGACAGCCGACGATTGACGGCTGTGACACTTTATTACCGAATCTGAGCAGGATGATGTTTTGGCGTGGAGATTTCGGGCATTATTTGTAATTACGGTTGACATTGTCGTAGTTGCAGTACTGCCAATGAGATTTGATGGACCACTGGCTAATGTACTATCTTCGGCTAAATCAATGCTGCTGTCATCGCCACTGTTCGTTTCCGAATAGAGGCCGGTCATTTGGTACATTGACTCCTGTCGTCTGTAATAGAAAAATACAAATAAAATTCAGAGATTCTGTGTATATAATTATTTCTAAATGTACTTCCATATGTTTATAAAGGGCACACAATAAGAAAATGAAAAATAAATTAAAAAGAGGAACCCACAAAAAATTCCCGTAAAATCCATTAAAACTAAAAATTGAGTTTATCCAAAAGGACATTTAACAGAAAACCATTTAAACAATGGATGACAGATAATTTTTGTACTAGGCTATAGACCATTCTTGGATAAAAAAATGGATTTTATCCAAACATGTTATCCAGAAACTATTTACAGTTTCTAATGGGGGACATAATATCAGTGCTAATAATATCCTAGACCGAATATTTCACTGAAATAATGTTGGTAAATTATTTGAAACCGATAAATATCAATGACAGACATAGTTGCTATAGGAACTGAAATGCACTATTTTCATCAATCTAGTTCTTAATATTCTGTTAAAAATTCAGACACGTTGTAACCTGTACGGGTTGACAAGGTGATACATGTCGAGGAGTTACAGACTGGGCACTTGGCATGAGAGATTTTAGTACAGCCTCATAATCTAAAGGTCTTCTTCATCTAGATCATAAAGCTCTCTCCTAACGTGTCTTGTTATGACCGTCGATAGTAACCAAGACAGTTCCTGCAGCAATGACGTAGTTATCGTCACAGTACTGCAGTTATAGGGAGTTAGCAGTCGTTAGCATTGTCAAGGAAACTTCTTATAAGTATTGACTAAAGCTGATCCGATGTGTCACTAACAATGAGTTGTATTAATGACAACTGGTTCCAGCTCATTGATGGGAATCATAAGACAGACATACACAGCCGACTTTTGGTTGAAAACCGGCAAATGAACAACTATTCGTGTAATGGAAATTGAAATTCGTTTGTCCAACAAAACACGCTTTCACGTGCTACAATTTGACGAAATATCGAAAAGGAGTTTTTGTGGTTAGCAACAAGAAAAAACTACCACACAGATGAAGTCTAATTTTTTTATCGTGTAACACCTCACTGTCAACACACTGGCACTGACACTATTTAGCATAGGACTCAGGAAGTCATTCGACTGGCTATTACGAACGATGTTCATATTTATCCTGCCACAATTGTAATACCAGCGAGACTGGCATGCCGTGTTTGTTATGACCGACCTCCAACAAAAGAGTTATTGATTTTAGAACACGTCAATTATTTACAGAGGACAAATACAAGCTTGTAAGGCACTGGCGTAGTCAAGGGGAAAATTAAAGGGCCCTAAATTCCAACTGAATATGAATTGTAAAATGTTGAGCTGATGTTAGAACTTACCTGTGACCCTTGCGATGTGAACTTATATTGCTGTGAATGGCACAACTGCCATTATCCGTGGCAGCATGACACGAACTGCCACTTGTACCTTCCCCGGATTGACCCTGATTGTCGCTGTATCTTCGGGAGCTGTACGATGGTCCGATATTGGTGTCTTGTTCAAACGAAGGATTTACATATTGCTGGTCCGTGTTGCAACTGCAATGGCCGGTCTTTTCCGGTTTCTTTCCGGTCATGATTACAGCATTCGTATGACTGCTTTAAAATTGTAGTGATTTTTGGAACTTGAATTTGTTGCTGCAACTATCAAACTATCCAATCCAAATCTACAGCATTTCCTCCTGAAATTATTGAAAAAATATAATAATAGTCAAAATTACATTGCTGACATGGAAATGAATTTGTTCGTGTTTCTAGTTTTGACTATAAAAATAACAATTAATTAATAACTAAAACAGTATGTATTTATGTGAGTGTGTGCATCGTTACATATCGTCAGCTAAAATGCAAAAAGGCGTAACTAAAAAAAATTGAAAATTGACTTTTTGAATGAAGATTGTGAATGTCAATAAACTACATGTGTTGACAAAGTTTTACACGTCTGCGGTCAAAACAGGAGCTTCTATTAACAAAAAACAAAAAGACGTAACTACGAGTGGGTTTATTTGATAAATGCATAAAGGCGTAACTAACAAAAATTCACGTTCTTACTTAATTGTTATGACTGTCATTAAACTAAATGACTAAATTTGTTAAAAAAATTATAGTCTATTATTCGTCATCACCCTGCCAGGCACAATTTTTCATTTCACATGACATGTTTATAGTTTTCATTCAAAACAGTTTTTTGCTTCTCTTACACAAATGTGTTTTTGTTAGTTGCGCCTTTTTGCATTTTAGCTAACGATATGTACATATATTGATATTGTTAATTTAATCTAGAATTGCAGAAAACGACATTGTTTTTTCTGCAACAACGACGAGTGAGTGATAGCAAATCTACCAGTAGATATTTGCATGCAACTAATTGCCCAGTCTGTCATGTGAAGTTCCCCATTGCATTGGGGCCCGACTCTAGAGGCCCATGTCACACCCAAAGTCAATTAAATCATGTCACTGTGATTGTACGCAGACATTTTGTCCTGAAAGCATTGCTATTTACAGGCAGGCAATATTACACTCTCACCGAGAACAACGAAAAAGTCCTCCACATATACTCAGCCACATGGGAATTTATTTGATTGCTGATGTGGGTATGCGAGTATGTATGTCCGTCTGTCTGTTAACAGTGAAATGTATCACAATTACGAATTACGTTTTGACTGACAAAAACAGTTACATATAAACGTACATATGTACGTACAATGTTAGACAAGTAAACAGAAATGACGCTTAAACAATAGTGGCCATGTTCCTGAATAGTATTCCTCTTTCTTTGGGGCCATTATCAAAACAAAGACAATAAAAAACATGAACCCGGATAGAAAAGATCGATCCACTTAATATGTACGAATGTATCAGAAAATAAAGCAACTTTGGAGTAATTACAAAGTAAAAAAAAGTGCCGCAAGAATTTCGGAAATTACCAAGACGTAGCCAAATACGAAAATTAAAATATATTTTTTTTATTTTTCAATACGATACTGCCTTCGTAGCTTCTGCTTGGTATTCAAATGTAGATTTGATGGCAAACATAACATTCATTTGAATTAACAAAACGTCGGCGATAAGAGGAGTTTTTCAACATTTCGCCATGTGTCATGAATTCAAAATAATATCTGTCATCGTTAATAAAATCAATCTTTTAGTTGACTATTAACTATAATATTTTGGTTGTGGGCTATTCTAGATAGAAATAAACGTATGTACGTATATTAAATAAACATTTATGATTTGGAAAAATATTGCAGTGTTATGAAAAAGTTTAAAACTTTGGGGGGTTGTTTAATAAAAATACTAAAGCGGAAAAATAAACATCGTAGATAGTCGAGCTCTTCATCCCTAATTTGTAATTTTTAAACTTCAGAAGAACTTTTTGATAGCTGATCTTTGATATTATGTTATTTTTAATGGTCATATTGGTCCATAATTGTTTTTAAATAAAACAAACTTGGAACTATACATCAGATTTACATGTTTATTAAATATGTCCCAAAATGTGCAATGACGATTGTACGTGGACACGTATCACAAATAACATTAAAATTTAATTGAAATATTATCACCAAACCTAATAACCAATTCCTGGCATCCAATTCTTTTCTATAAAAATAATTTTGTTTTTGTACAACAATTATGTAGGGATAGCTCCCGATTTTTTTTTAATAAGTTTAGATTTGAAACAGAAAAATTTAGATTCTACTAGAATTACCCAAATTTCTACATACATAAGAGTAATGTAACAAAGTTTTAGACGAAATCAAAATAAAACTAGTAGAGAATATGTCAAAACACATTTAAAGTTAAAGAAAAGTATAAATTGTGGATAAAATATTAAAAATCGCTTAATATTTTGATTTTTTCTTGTACGTTCAAAAGTGTTCGAACTGAGTTGTTTTTCATTTTATTTATACCCGGCCCGTTTTTCAATTCTACCCGGCCCGGCCCACTGGTTTCTTGTATCGCATATTCACATTTAGCAAAATGTGCTTTTTGTGCTTACTTCTGTCACACCTTCTTACAAATTGAAAAGATGCTATTGAATGCTTAACCGCCCACGAAAAAATGGAATATGCGATGATGAGGACTCAGGACTTTATATCGAGCATAGCATAGACAATGTTTTGAGAGTACACCCAAAAATGCAACAAACCTGAATCCCAGAATACAGAACAAGTTAATATAACTAAATGATGAATACAAGCAGAAGTCTACTGTTAAAGAAGTGAAGACTGCTTCATCATTATGGGTTTTAGCGGGTGAAACTATACATATATAGTCTCATCCGCTTTTTGACAAGGTATCTAAAGAAGTAAAGGAATGTTTCCTTTGCTACGTGGAATTAGAAGGATAAACAGAAAAAGAATTTTCAAACGTCATAATAAACACAGCAATCAGTTTGGGTATGGATAAAAAATTTTAAGAGGTCAAGAATATTACGGCGCGTCTAACATGTCAGGCAATTATAATGGAGTGAGGACCATTTTTAAATCAAAATTCATTTCTGCGGTATACATTCATTGTTCTTTTCACATTTTTAAAATTAAGTTTAAATGCACCTTCAAAGATTTGAAAAATTCGAAGTATATTTTCTACAACTTTGGACATTTGCTCATTCTTTGGAAAATTTGGAAAGGTCTGCTACATTATGTAGAATATTTTAAGAAGCAAGTAAATCTTTCAAACTACTACATTCATATTACATTCACGACTACATTTCACATTCACGACGAGTTGAGCAGCATGATTATGTGCAAATATTTAACGAATCTGTAGAAGAAATAAGGGAAAATTGGATTTATTTCTAAGAAGTTGAAGGTCAAAGTAGAGGTCAAATATAATGAGTTGGAACTCCGAGTATTTTTTTTAGAACTACATAATTTGTCCCATGTTTGGACAAATTAATTTTAAATATGACAAGAAGATTTCTGGAAAATGAAAAAAAAATAGTTAAACCAATATATGTGAAGATTTTTTTTTAATTTTATGAAACATATCTGAAAGTGGATCTGTGGATCACTATGTGGAAAGCGAAAGATCCACGACCTAATCGCATTTAATCCACTTGATGCGATTGTAGTATATGACAAAAATCTATTTCCAAATATGTATAAGGAAGGCAAAATTTAAGGAAGACAAAATTTGACTTCGCAACATCGGGCCCCCCGAAATGAAATCCTGCGTACGTCCCTACCTTGGCATCATATATAAGGAGGATATAACATAATTTTTGGGTTAATTGTAGATTCATTACAAATTGTGTCATCGTTTTTTATGTCTTTAGGCAATATATTTTTACCTAATCATAATTAACTAAAAAACACACAATTTTTTATGGCACTGAGAAATATTTCACACAGCTGACCCTAATATTAATTTTGTAAAACAATTGTTGCTTGAGAAAACCTATGAAGACGTTGTGCCAGACAGAAACATGCATTGAAATGAATTGGAGCGTACCAGGTATTCAATTTCCTTTCTTTTCCGCAACATAACTGCCAGTACATCTTCGCACTGTTCCAAGCGGTTGATGTGCATCATGGTGCCCTCCGCAAAGAAACGTTATTTATGCTTATTGTTGTTGTTGATGTTGCGGTGGTGGGGAAACGTAAAGAGTTAATACTAGAGCAACTATAGCAAAAGATGTGGAAGTTATAGCGAACTAAATATATTTGTTGCTTTTGTGATGTCAGACCAAAGACATACAATCGGAATATTTTTATGTTTTTGGTCAGATACCCTATATTCCATATCAATATTTGATGTAATTCTTGAGAGCCAATTTTGCCAACAGGAAAGTAAATATTTGGTGGCTTTGACAATTTTTCATAAGTAACCACACTTGGGATAAAATTTGTAATTTGTAACCACACTTGGTATAAAATTGAAATTTTTACTCCTCCAACATAAATTTGTCATTCCGTTTGCAACAACTCAATATTCGTCGGCGATCCCATAAAGTATATACTTTCTTGATCGGAATACAATTTTAGGACTTTGGCATACCCACTTGTCTGTCTTTCTGTTGAAATCACAATGAAGATCGCAATATATAAGAAGCAGCTTTTAAATTTTGCACTGACATTGTTATTTTAAATATGATTTGTGGGCAGAAAATGGGATATATCTTTCCACTTTTTGGTGTAGTCACCATACGTAGGGGATTTTGTAGTGAAATTTTGGTATTTTGGGCTCGCATTTGGCAACACATCTCTTACCAAATTTATGCATATTAGTTACATTTGAAGGGTACTCCCTAATTTAGGTTTTTTTATAATTTGTTTTTTGAATTCTAATTGGGTAGCAAATCTTCCTACCAACAAAAGTTAACAATATTGGTTCAGTTTAGGATAGCCCCATATATCGTTAGTGTTGTTAAAACTTTATTTAGAATAAATAGTAGATTTTATTAAAAAAAAAATGCCAAACATGTTTTATTAAAATATTTCAATTCATTATTTTAAGTGTATTATTGTGAGGGTACTATAACTTTTTGTGGTTCAAGAGTATGTCGATCATATCTCGACTAGCAGATATGTGTGTCTGTTTATCTGCCCATTATAATTTGTAAACAAAGTACAGACCACAGTTATCGACCACTCGTCACGAGATTTT